CGGCTCAGTTGGCCCTCCTGAGTGAGTTGGGTTCAATTGGGAATTTTTCCCTTAAAATACATACTAACACGAACTAGTGTACCAAATTTCAGCTTAAAATCTTTAAAACTGCAAAACTTATGAGGTTTTTTCAAACACGAGTCATTCCCGTTTTCTGAGTCTGGAGAGTGCATTTTTAGAGAAAGCCATAAAACTTCAAAAAAATTTTTCTCAAGAAATATTGAAGATATGAAGCTGAAAATTTGGGTTTTTTCTTATATTGACCGATGGATTAAGTAAAAAAAAAATCATGGAAATCCGAGTCGGGTGGTTACAAGTCCGTTCGAATTGACATGGAATGACCCTACTACAAGATCCTGAAGATATCTTGAGTGGATGAAGCAAATTCATTTAATTTCCTTCAGACTGCCCATAAAAAACTCTTGTCTCTGCAAAAATCAGAGGCATAGCAGAATGTGAAAAATGTTAAAAAATGAAAAAATTCAAGTGAAGTGAGACCTCTGATATCCACAATCCGGAGCTGCTTATTATTAACACCTACAACGAGGATTCGCGGATTCTCCTTGAACCAAGCCAGTGAGTGAGCAACATCTGCAAGACCAAATTCAACAACTGGGCGACTATACTCAGCTGAAGGTTGGGAGCTGACAAAGTGCGTAGGAAACTGTCGCTGCTGGATAGGGTACTTTTGCACATCCCAAACTTGTACTGCATGATCTGCTCTGTGTTTGTCTAGTGCACTTGCCAACAAGTGTCCATCAGACGGATTCCATGCTACTGAGTTACACTGTCTAGCATGCCTTGGACCTATACAGTAAAGCATGGGTAGTTATGCTATGCAGTGAAAATTAACAAGTAAAATCAAAGGTTTTTCACGAATGAACAATTTAGATCTTCAAAATGTATTTGGTGTTGTAAAAAACCTTCATCTTGACCCAAAGGATTCCTAGGATAACAAATAGTTTCTGTTGTTCTGCAAGAAAATGGTTAATGTTAAAGAAAAACAATTGAGTAATAATACTACTTTACCCAGGTTTAGTAGTTTTTTTAGTGTTGAAGTAGTATTTTATTATTTAAGAAAGAGAAATTACATGGTTTTGAGAACTAAGTTAATGCGTTGGTGCCCTCCTGCTACATGCAATCTATTTATGCCTCAGATAATATTATTTTCATTTCTTTTAAGGCATGCTCCATCAGTTCAAGAAAATGAAGAATATGATGTGAAAAAAGTGGTAAAATTTCATTCAATTAGTATTTAAGTGACCATCAATGGCGATTCGGTAACACCTGAAGGCTCTTACAGCGCTCTTCCTTAGCATGGCAGATCAGGCATTGCCTAATTTCGCCTCATATATATTTATTCATTCCATTATTTATTTATTTTTTATTTTATTTTCTTCTAAACAGAGAAAGAAGCAACATGCTGAGGTGAAGATTTGTGAGCCTGAATAAAATTTTTCAAATGTTTTTAGCATACTCACTTGAACTTACAATTTTTTATTGGGTGGCATTTCTGAGCACCTTACACTCCATCCTAGGCCATCAGCAAATGCTCATCCACTTGTTCCTTGAGTTCACTGTTGGCTGCGGTAAAGCATTATGGGCTCCAAAACGTATGCCAATGAGTGAATTTTAAGTGCAAGTGATTACACTAAATTTTTTTAAAATCTGATTCTTTTTAACTTTTCCCGACTCTATTCATGGTTTTTCCATTGTGTGTGAATCAATTCTCCATGATTTTGGGGCAATTCATTGAGAGTTTCAATGCAAAATTTTCAGTTAGTTTTCACTACAGTAAAACATGATAGAATATTGGGCATGGGAAATTTAGTCAGGCTGATTACAGGTTTATTTATTCATTTGTTACAGTTGCAACAGGCAATGAACACCTATTAACTAAATCATTCAAAACCACCAAACAACAAAATAACAAAAAAAAGATGGCAATACATTAGATTAAGATAAATTTTGACAATAAAAACCTTAATAAAAGATAGTACATGCAAATGAAGTAGATAACACATCAAGTGGAGATACATTATGAAAATTGGCCTGAAGAGATTACACAAAAACAAATATTTAATCAAGAAGATGTTAAAAGAAAGTTCTTCGAGAGGGAGTTTTACAACTATAGACATCGCAGTAAAAAATGTAGATTGGTATAGAATTCACAACCTTGTTCATTTTGGTGACAAATGGCCTGTCAAAACTGTTAGAATTGACAATGCTTATTTATAAACCAAGGCCCACAGTACAAAGCTTTGTTGCATAGAAAAAAAAGGAGGTGTTGGCATCTTGAGGATTGCTTACCCCGGACCATAACGTCCGAGTTTTTTGCTTGAATCAACTCATGTTATAATTTCAAACACTTTACATTGAACGAATTTTGTCCATAAACTACACCATTTCCACTAAAATCAATGATAAAAATCGTATGTACACACTATGTCATCAACAAAATCCAAGATGTCCGGAATGCACACACCTCCTTTTTTTGCTCTATGGCTTTGTTGAAACCGTCTTTCAGAAGCTGAGAAGCTGACTTTGGCAACAATTCAGAAATGAACAAACAATGCAAAAAAGTTTTACCTATTTCAATGCCAGTGAGTCCCATGTTGTCGAAGACAGAACTGCCAAAACTGGTGAGAACGACTTTGCCATTGGCTTGGCCAATCGCAAGCAGAACATCTGGCTGAGGGTGCGGATAAATGTCCACACATTTGACATAATGATGATTAGAATTGCTTGCAAGGAGGTGCGCAACTGTGTTGTCCGAAAGAAATACACCTGCATCATGACCATAAAAAAATACTTAGGATAAATCTTCTATACAGAGTGTCCCAAAAGTCCCTTCCACCCCCTCTATTTGACCAAATTAATACAAGGTGTCTAGTTTTTAGGCGTAGGGGACGCCCAGTGAGAGGTTGGCGACAGGGGGTGTTAAATGAGATGAGAGAGTGTCAGCTCTCTGATGACATGTGGGAAGACCGAGCTTTGTGGCGATTAGGCGTCGTAAAGCGCCAAAGAGCGCTATGAAAGCGACTCATATGTATGTATGTCTAGTTTTTTCTAACTTCCTAATGAGTCAGTTAAGTGGTTTTTTTTATTATTATTGTGTCATTCAAAAGTAGTAAGTGACCGAAGCTTACAGTTTTTTTTCCTAATTTTTTTTATGACTGCAAACTGGAGAAAAGTTTATTTGAAAGTGCCAAACATTAGGGTGGCCTAAAACGGCGTTTGAACAGCGCGTTCATAGGTTTCACGTCGTTTTTAGTGTCAATAGGAAGAAAAATGTTATGGCTAGAACTTATGACTTCGGTTTAAACAGAAATTCCTTTAACTTTCATAAACGCTCGAGGACTCACGTGGAGCTGTGCGGACTCTAATAGCATGGACCAAAAAATCAAAACACAGCGGTGGCGCCCCCTGCGCGGAGAAATTTCTTATTTCACGGAGCTGTAGATAAACCTTAAGCTTTTCAATCAGAATGCCATACAGATTTGTATAGGATATGAAACATTCACACAGAACTTACTTAACCGCAAACGAGAAATCGTGATGTCAACAACGGCGGCGTGTCGGTAGTAAGCAGGTTGGCTTCGTCGCCGCCATCTTCCCGTCTATGACGAGTAGATTCGAAGATTCACGGCGTACTATGGTCTAAGAGCGCCAAATTGTGGCCAAAAATCCGATTTTTGAAAGTGCGAAAATCTGGCGAGCGAGCATGCTGCCCTAATCTACATCCTTTGGCAAGTGTGAAATGACCTATCAAATTTTATTTAAGTGTTTTTAAGGTCAGATATATGGTGGCAAACTTCACATACTCAGAGGTTAATAAGCGAATGGGAGAATTCGAGGTGCACATCATCACATATTGCCTCGTGTTTTGTCAAAAGTCGGCGTGGATCCCCCATCAAATATGGAACAAATAGCTCAAAGTAAGCACTTTTTAATGGTGTAATCGTTTTTAATATCGTTTAAATCGCTGTGGCCATTACGGGACTCCAAAGTTTTGCCTAAAAATGAGCCAAAAATGACCTTGACTTCAACTTTTCGTTATCACGGTTTCTTGCGGATTCATTCTTATTGGTGCAGAAATGTAGAAATGTTATACATATGTTCCTCTAACAGAGTATAATAGGTTTCTATGCCAGTTTTCCGGAAAAATTGGATTTTTTGGCGGGAAAACACATTTTCAAGCGAAATTATATTTTATCTAGAGAAATGATATAGGTAACTGGATAAAACGAGGGTAATTTTTTCATTCTTGAGCTTTCACAAGTATACACATTTACCAACTCGCCTTCCTGTGGTGTAATGGTTGTAGTGCTAGCCTTATGATCAGGAGATCCTCAGTTTGACTCCCCCCCCCAGGGAACTCGAGCTTGATGATCGCAAGCCATATTACTGGGAGCTAATTGCTTGGAAGAGACTGATGGGGAAAGGCATTCAAGCACGGATATTAGATCTCAGTAGAAATTGTAGTTCCGCTTTCTTGTATTTACTTTATGAAATAGTTCTTTATCATTCCACCTAAAATCTTTCTAGTAACATTTGTAACCATAAAAATCAGCGTAAAATGATTGAACTGCTTCCAAGAAATATAACAATGTAAAGTCTGTTAATTTTTAGGTATTCTAAAGTATGCCCCGAAACTTTTCGAAGCAGGGTCTGACGATCAAAGAGTGAAGTATTATTTTTAAAAAAAAAACGCCAGAAATGAACATTTTTTGGAGGACGTTTCTATCCAGGGAGGGGGAACTCTATACCTTGGCCTTTACCTCCCCCCCCCCACTCCTCTGCTTTCTTTCAGGAAGGCATCTAAATATCTTGCTAACACGAAAACCACCATACTTACTGTATGTATTATGCTCTAGTCAGGACTGAGAGACAAAAAAATAAAATGGTGAATTTATTCAATTACGATAAATTCTTGTCTTTTCCTGGGAAAAATACTCATTTTAAAGCCTTTTGCTCTGGTAAACGCATCATTTTTGCAAAAATGAACCACCAAAGTGTAGTCTGGTGACCTTCAAACGACTTAACCGTCATTTACTGTGGCATTCGAATCAAAGTTAGAATTTTTTTCTAGATTTTAAGTATTTAGGGTCTGCCGCCATCTTGGATTTGAGAATTTTGTAAAACTAAGGTCAAATTTGAATTTAGCGACCCAAGAATTATAGGTTCCCCGAGTTTCATTTGAATCTGACCATTTAATGAGCTTGTTCAGTAATTCATAATTCTTGCAGTTTTGAAAACTAGTGAGTGCACATAGTTCACAGGAATGTTCCCCGATTTTTTGGAGCAATAAAGGTGGATCTACAGTTTTTTTTTAGGAATTTCTCCGCCCAGGGAGCGCCACCGTCGATGGCTGTTTTCATCAAATTACTGCAGTCAAGACTAATTTTCTGAAAATCTGAGCCTTTATTTCAAAATCGGAAAATTTCAGCCTGTGGATTGGAGTTTGGTGAATATTTGGAGCCCTCAACCATCAAAATTCATGGCTTTCTGGCGGAGAAAGTACTGTTTTCCCACAAGAAATCTTGGCCTCCCGCCGACGGTGCTCTCAGTTGACGGTAAATTTAGAGAAGTAGAACGATTCGTTTCAAAATCCAAGAATTTCAGTCTATAGATCAGACTTTTTTCTCTCATGCAAGTCCAAAAATTTGCAATGCCATTGCGAATCGATGAAGAAATTGCTGTATCCAGCCAGGCGGACAACAAGCTTTTTTAATCAGTAGGTCATTTCAAAATTCAAATTGCTCACCACAACAACAACAGGTTTGTTGACATTTTAGGTTATGTGTCCGTTCTTCATCATGGTCAAAAGCTCATCAGCTCGCACAGTGAATTTCAACTTTATTGCAATAATTTTGATCGTGTCGTATGAACTAAAAGAAGGAACAAGTGTGCTAGTATTCTGTGTTTAGTGTGATAATTTTTATTTCGCCTTCAATTTATCTTCTGGCAAGTCATTCAGTGCTGTACCAAAATTGGTTCTTGCTGGGTTGCGGAGCTCTCTTTCGTCAGGATCCCACATTTTACCTTAACACTAGTTACTAGTGTCTATACCTTGCCGGACACACCGATCATATTTGCCGTACCTCACTCCAGGTAAGTCATTTACAGTACTTGACACAGAAGGATAATTCACATCGTACGAATCCACTCGAACTCATCATCACTATTCATCACCAGTATGTATTGTTGAATGTGCGTCAATAAATGACACATAGTACAGCCACAGTGCTGTCATACTATAAAAATGGTCAGTAGAGATCAGTAATATCAAGATTCTTCCCGCCATCCAGATCCAGTGATTGAGCATACGTCAAAAATGGCTATAGTGCAAAGAGAAAAACCAATCCGTCGTTTAAGGATTATGAGTTCACAAATGACGTTTCCAATGCTCATGCTGGGCATTGGATGTTCTCTCAGTTAAGTGTAAAGTCTCCAAATACGTACTTCAAATTAATTTTTTTAAATTATAAGGGTTCGAAAAAATGAATGATCATTTAGGTATTCCTTTGTAACCACCACAGTCTTTTTCTTTAATTACTGTCCCAGTTTGATTTTTGTTGCCATCTTGAAGTTTTGTGACGTCAGGCGGGTACCGAATCTGTAGCGCGTAGCCGGCGTAGCGCGCATTTCAAATCTTCGCCTGCTCTCATCAAGATGAGGATACGAAGCATTGTGTGATAAGTGAGATGACGATGAGACATAAATTATCCGTCACATTCCTTCCTAGAAATGTGCCTATTCAAGCTGAATTTAGTTTTTTATTTCTGAATGATGAAAGAATCTGAAAGGATCGAATATGACTACCTAATTCCTAGCTCTATAGCTTGCAAGACAACACCCTGAGTTATGAATTTTTCCAGTATCGTTGCAATATCAGTAGAGTACCTAATAGCGGCACCCAGTGTCACAGTATGTCATACATGATGTAGGTAATTCTCATCCAAATAAGCGAAGAATAAATATTTACCTTCATTACCACCAAGTAGATGAAAGTTTCACTGTGAACATAGTTGGCCAATAAAAATGCAAACAATGAAGCAATTATTTTTATTTCCTGACTCTACATGGTAAGAATTATGGTACGAATTCTAAGGCATAGTAAAAACTGTATTTATCATTCCTCAATTAATACAAGGTTGACTGTTTGCAAGGAAATGATAGTACATTAGTTGGCTTATCTATTTTTCTAAACTTCAGATTAAGTTGATGAAGGTAGCAGGTTATTGTCAGCAAGAGCTATTGATATATATATATATATATATATATATATAGTTTAGAATGGTCTATTTTTAATTCTTCCAGAGGAGCATTATTAGTATTTAATAAAAAACTCTCAGGATTCTCTGTGATACTATGCCACCTCTTATCAAGAATGTTTATGCTAATGTTGTTGCTATTATGGTGATGGAAGAGATAATTTGGGTAAAAGTCGGACAAATATGAGGATGCCAAGTTTTTAAGAAAATCTCACAAACCAAAGTGAAAATTGTTTCATGCCTCTGCAATTTTCAGCTTCGCGCTAGGTTTTCGCAAGAGGGTCAGCACAATGCGCTCATCAAACTTTTGTGGAATTTCTTGTTAATTTTAGAATGTGTGCCAAAGTCACAATAAGCATTCCACAAGAATTGCAATCTGAAAAATCTAGAAAAATAACAAGTACCTCTCAGCCTTTGGGCAATTTGCACCCCTGCTCAATTGGAAATGGAACTTGGTACACGTTCCCATAAGGAGTGTACAGGGTCCTTCAGAGGAGGGCTATTGGGCAGAATGTGGAAAACTGTTGGACGGGCACATAAAATATGGTGGAGGGTTGGTGGTAGATGAACCAAATTATGCAAAAATAGAATAAAACAAACTAAGGTAAAATACAGTGGCTTACATGATGCTTTGGTTTCTTCTTTGATTTCCACTGTTTCGTACAGGAAAATTTCAGTGCCCCAAGTGATAAATCTATCCGGATGAACAGGTGACCACTGAACTTCTAAACGAGGAGTACTCATGATGGGCAAGCTGAAACTGAGGGATAAGATAAGAATAACAAGCCAATGCCATTAAAATCTCAAAAATCAGTTATGGCAAACTTCCCCTTACAGGTAAAGACTACCTTAAAATGAGTTTGTTGAAAGAAGCAGAGATTTTTACTTCCTCGCTTCCCTGGGGTAGAGGAAGTATTGTCATCCTCCAAGGGAAACAACAAAAAAGTTGACATTTCCATCATTTCTAGACGTTTTAAGGTCCCTAAAGTAAAAATAACCTGACTTGAAAAGATGTGTGTCTGTCCGTCAGGGGTCCCCCAAATCAGTGTACAGCCATACCTCAGAATCTATCTGTTAAATTTCATTCAAAATTGATAGAGAAGACCATAAGTATCTATGTTCTCCTTATGCACGTCAAACGATTTTAGGGTGCGCTAAAATTGGGGGGGAGGCTAGGGGCCTAGGTCGATTCTTAGCAAAATCACATGGAAAGCTCATATTGAAGGACTGTAAAAAAAATGCCTTTAATTATTTGAAAGTTAGCACAAAAGCACCACCTGGGTCATTAATTAGGGTCTGTAGTCCCTAAGAGATCTTCGGACTAAACTAAAAATTGAAGGGTTACGCGTCATATAGCGAGAGCACTTTGATCACACGAGGAGCTCACTTTGATGGACTGTAGATTTTGAAATATGCCTTTAATTCTATGAAAGGTGGCACAAAAGCACCACCTGGGCCATTAATTTAAGTTCCTAAGAGATCTTTGGACTAATCTCATGTTGAAGAGGGGCCTATAGCAAATCGCCATATTGGGCTGAACACTCAAGGAACGGAAGACTCCTTGGTATTAGCAGCAAGTGTTTTGAGTTAGATGAAACCTAAGATTTCAAATGCTTGATATACTGTCTCCAAAATTACTCCGTAGATATACACTTAACAAACTGAGACAACTAATCAGGTACCTACATACTATCATCGAAGCTAACACTAGAACTTACACTTAGATCTTTATTAGAAACTAATACGTTTGTTGTTAATGAATTTAGAATCCCTGCGGATTCCATCTATCGCGGTTCCTTTTTACAAGGTACTGAACTTGAATATAGTAATACTGCATGAACATGATTGATTTAATGATTAATGATTACACAAAAGCGCGTTTGTTTATCACGGTCCAAATTTTCTGTTGTTTCAACACACGGAGCTAAGGAGCTGACGCTTTCCGTGGGCGGGTGGTGAATCATTTCAAGCGAGGAGATTCGACCGCCAACTTTAAAACTTGGGATTGATGCTCGGCAATACCCGTTTCATTTTAAGACTATAAAAACATCACATAATGATTCTGCCCGTGGAAGTAGGTTTTTAATAGCTTTTAACCGTGCTTAAGGAAAGATTAGAATATATAATCGTATCTAAATTATGATGTCAATAAATTCAATAGATACTAATGAATCATAGAAAAGCTAGGATATATATATTTAAGGATTGCCGTCTTCACTACGAGGCATCATTAATCAATTAGAACTGGGGAAAGAAAAGAATAGACAAATGTCACATCCAAAAAGTGCACCATTCAACAGAAATTTACATGCTAACAAATGGGCCAACTGATGATTGCTGTCTTCAGACTGATGTGACTTTTGTCTTTTCTTTTCTTTCCCCAGTTTTATTTGATTGAAGATGCCTCATAATATCTAGAAGACCATTCTTAATGTATCAATTCATCACATATCATGATTAGATATACAATCAAGTTTAGTGGTTTGGATAAAAATTTCATAACTATTATCGTTCAATCAAAATTTCAATCGAAACTTTATGATTTTGAGAAGCTGGCTGTATTTTCCCAAATACTCCAGTGAAAGTGCCTATGCCGGCACGGAGCGCCGGCTTCAGCGAGAAAGTCTTGTGCGATCCTCGCACCATGATGGGGGGCGAAGCTCCACCCATTTGCCGGCGCTTGCGCTGCGCATAAATTTGCCGGAGGCCAATTTTCACTTTACCAAGAAACTTCATGCAAAATTTGGTGAAAATTTGATGCCACCAATTTCGTAAAAAGTAAACTTCCAATTGGTGCTGAAATGGAATATGTATGTAATATTACATACAGGGTGTACCAAAAGTCCGTCCCACCCCTGCTAACTTTTGAACGAATTGAGCTAGGGTAATGAAACTTTGGGAATGTTCCTATCTCAAAGGAGACCTTTTTTTGTGGGGGTCAAAATTTTGGTCCCCCCTCAGGGGGGGCCCGGGGGGCCCCCAACTTTTTATTTTCAAATGGCAACCCCTATCTTGTGATACCTCATTCGAAAAAGCATAAGAAACTAAGAATTTTGGCGCAAACCGCAGATCAATATCTTAATTTTTGACCGAGTTATGATAGGTCAAAGGTCAAATTTGACCTATTTTCAAAAAATCATAACTCCGGTTCAAATTATCCTAAGGAAAAAAATAAAACGGGAAAATTTACCAAATTGTGTCCGCTTTTAAGTAAAAATTGCAGAAATCACTTCGATTTAATTTTAAGGGGGGGCTCGGACCCCCAAATACGTCAATTCAAAGGTCATTCAATTTTCCCGCGAGATAAGCCAATTTCCCCTAGATTTGCCTCCACATTATCTCAGTAAGGTCAAAATCAGTTCAACATTACGTTGGCAAGTCCCCAAATTTCGGGAAAAGTTTAAAAAAAACGAAATTTAAGGTGATTAAATTTGACCGTTTGAATTTCGTTTTTTTCTAACTTTTCCCGAAAGAGCCGTATGCAAAAACGACATTTTTCGCCCCCCCCACTAAAACTTATTCAAACTTCGTCTATCAGTTACTAATACTGGAGCGCTTCTTTCCCCAAATTTTCAGACCCCCAAAAAATTTTGGGGGGGACGCTAGGGGGGGTGGAAGTCTAAACCTGTGAACCTTGATATCTTTCGAACGAAACTAGATATTGAGGCCCAGTTTGGACGAAAAATCGTCTAAAATTGCAAACTTTCAGATTCTAAAGGTCAAAATACCAAAATTAAATTTTTAAAGTAACTTATGTGCTGTTTTTCAGTTTTTAAGGAAAAACAATTTCTTTTAAACAGATTAAACTGAAATTTCACATTTTTTGATTTGAACCAAAACCAGTTTTTTAAATTGCTCGTCTTTTTCCGCATCCAACGAGTGGTCGTATAAGCTGGGGAACCGAACGGTTCCCGAGTTATGATCGATTGAAGTTTCCGCTCAACGCGCGCCGACCGATTTTCGCGCGCAAAAAAGTCGGATTTGACTGTTATTAAATCAGATTGAATGTTCAAACTGAGCAAAATGCATTATTAGGGACTCTTAAGGGTCGCTGAGTTCAGAAATTACAGGTACTTCCAAAAAATTCACGTTTTTAAAATTACAGCTCCGTACAGGACCACTGAGCGGCCGAACGGCCGCTCAGTGGGCCTCTAAAATAGCGCAACGGAGCTGTAATTTTAAAAACGTGAATTTTTTGGAAGTACCTGTAATTTCTAAACTCAGCGACCCTCAAGAGTCCCTAATAATGCATTTTGCTCAGTTTGAACATTCAATCTGATTTAATAACAGTCAAATCCGACTTTTTTGCGCGCGAAAATCGGTCGGCGCGCGTTGAGCGGAAACTTCAATCGATCATAACTCGGGAACCGTTCGGTTCCCTAGCTTATACGACCACTCGTTGGATGCGGAAAAAGACGAGCAATTTAAAAAACTGGTTTTGGTTCAAATCAAAAAATGTGAAATTTCAGTTTAATCTGTTTAAAAGAAATTGTTTTTCCTCAAAAACTGAAAAAAGCACATAAGTTAAGTTAAAAATTTAATTTTGGGATTTTGACCTTTAGAATCTTAAAGTATGCAATTTTAGACGATTTTTCGTCCAAACCGGGCCTCAATATCTTGTTTCTTTCGGAAGATATCGAGGGTCACAGGTTTAGACTTCCACCCCCCCTAGCGCCCCCCCAAAATTTTTTGGGGGTCTGAAAATTTGGGGAAAGAAGCGCTCCAGTATTAGTAACTGATAGACGAAGTTTGAATAAGTTTTAGTGGGGGGGCGAAAAACGTCGTTTTTGCATACGGCTCTTTGGGGACTTGCCAACGTAATGTTGAACTGATTTTGACCTTACTGAGATAATGTGGAGGCAAATCTAGGGGAAATTGGCTTATTTCGCGGGAAAATTGAATGACCTTTGAATTGACGTACTTGGGGGTCCGAGCCCCCCCTTAAAATTAAATCGAAGTGATTTCTGCAATTTTTACTTAAAAGCGGACACAATTTGGTAAATTTTCCCGTTTTATTTTTTTCCTTAGGATAATTTGAACCGGAGTTATGATTTTTTGAAAATAGGTCAAATTTGACCTTTGACCTATCATAACTCGGTCAAAAATTAAGATATTGATCTGCGGTTTGCGCCAAAATTCTTAGTTTCTTATGCTTTTTCGAATGAGGTATCACAAGATAGGGGTTGCCATTTGAAAATAAAAAGTTGGGGGCCCCCCGGGCCCCCCCTGAGGGGGGACCAAAATTTTGACCCCCACAAAAAAAGGTCTCCTTTGAGATAGGAACATTCCCAAAGTTTCATTACCCTAGCTCAATTCGTTCAAAAGTTAGCAGGGGTGGGACGGACTTTTGGTACACCCTGTAAAACGCAATGAGTTTCTGGAAATTCATTTCAATATTACTTAAGCCTATGCGAAAAAACTCAAAGGAAATCAGAGATGAAAACTGGGTTTCTAACCAGTACCCAGATATGAACCACGATTACAGCCTCCTTAGGAAAGTTGTCCAACATTCTCTTGAGTTATAATGGACATGGACCATGCTGCGGGTCAGAGCTAAAAGAACCTCATGATGCATTGCAGTCCGCGGCATTCCGCTGCAGGCAGGATCCAAAAATAATCCTCAGAATTCCAATAAAGAACTTGTCTTAGAATGAACTCTTACCGGTTTTCAAGACTATGCCTTCAGTTAAGGTGAATCCAGGGTTCGATTAGGGATAATTCAAGATAAGAGATAGCGCCACCAGTCACCACTGAGAATTTCACTTTCCTTCAACGATTACTGAAATAATATTGTAGGGATGTCGATACTCAGGGAAGTATCGATACTCGGTATCGATACTGGTATCGACTCTAAGCATCGATACCGGTATCGATCATCGAGCTGAAGTATCGATACCATCGATACTATTACTATGCCGTGATTCTGAGTGTGCATATGTCTGTCGGCCGTTAAATTCCGCCAGATTTACGAAAAAGCCCTGTTCGCGTCCTTAGCCAACTATTTTGAGCCCTTAATTACAGTTATCGAACTGAGCTTTTACCATTTTTATTGAAGTATAATCATCTTGAGAAACTTGATTACTCCGTCGTTTCTCACAGTGCATCATGAAGGTGAAATAGCGGGGAGAGAATTTTTTAAAAAAGAAAAAGAGGCCTTCTTCATGGCCAAATCAGATTAAGTATCGATACCGTCGATACTGGAGTCTTGGCATCGATACTGCATGGTATCGATATCGTGGAGTATCGATGCCGAGTATCGTTAAGTATCGATCGAAAGTATCGATACTTTGCAAGTATCGGATAAGTATCGACATCCCTATAATATTGTTCAAATTACAGAAAGCAGATCCACAAGATATAGATTATTCTTTGCTTGATTTTTTGAGCCAAAAATATTGGCAATTAGAATTACAAGCGCAGAGTAAGTACAGCTGAGACTTTCAGCTCAACTGCGGCCGCCGGGCACGCAACCGAATCCCTCATGTCCTGTCTCTCTCTCTCCCTTTGCCGCGATGGGAATTACTCTCCACCGTAGTTACGACTTTATTTTTAAGAAGATTTTTTTACTGAGTGTTCCTCAAGTATGTTGCTATGTCCCCTGGATCCCCAATCTTAAGGAGTATAACGGTTTTTATTATTTTGGCACATACATACGGCTATTCTGAGCAGCGCGACGTGGTGGCCAAATCGCGAAGTTCCAAGCCTGGATTCACCTTAAGAGAATCAAACCCTGAAATTAAATTTCTTTGCTACTAGTAACATTTTTAAGTTACCTGAAAGCTATGAAAGTGAACTCAACTGCTTCAACACACTCAGTCTGTAAGTCTTCAAAAGCAAACGAAGCTGAGAAGTGAGAACTATTTGCTAAAGGCACCGTGAATGTGTTAAGGCTTATGAGACAATATGATCGATCCTTCTGTGGACAATACTTTTTACTTGCGTACTTCCAATGCTGTAACTTGAAAGAAATTTTCCTTGCGGGGAAGCTCGAGCTCTGGAGTCAATACATCAGTTATAATTACGATACTTAAGTTAAATACCATATTGAAAACTCCGCACATAGCTCTGAAAAGTACTGAAAACTGATATCATCACTTGAGCTTGATACAGTCTAGATACAGTCAGACCAGACTCAGAAATTCAGAATTGAAACTCAGAGAGAAAATCAGGAGAGAAAATGCAGAACTAAATACAGTGGCTGGTGGCAAATAGGATGTTTACTTTTCGCCAAGGTAGATTTACACAGGTATGGACAGAACTTAACAACTGGCCTCTGATTGGCTCTCCAGCGGCCCCTTAACGTCAGCCATTTTGAATGTTTTGATTATTTTGATTTATTATGTTCGGTTTATCGTTTGTCAAAATTTTGTGGGATTTTTTGCACAATTTTGATAATGCGATATTAATTTTAACGTTTAAACGCACAAACGTTTGAATGCTAATTTGATTGTAATTTAATTAAAAAACGGGCCCCTTAACCTACGTCACGTAGTCATGTGACACGCACAGATTAGTCCAGATCGCTAACATCCAATCTAGCCAATGCTTCAGAAGCGTGAGTAATTTTGCTTACAGGTTAGGCAACTTTAGAAAATTGATGGCACTACCAGTAGTGAAAGAACTTGACCGGATCGAGAGAAATTTCCTATTGAATCTGATTATAAAGCTTGAAAAAAGTATAAATAGTAATGTGTAATAATGGTTTTTGATCAAATAAGATTTTATCAAGTACTGTTATGCTAAGTATTCTGTTTCAATATTCTTACAACAGTTGGTAGCAATTAACTTCTCTCATGGGGGCCTGGCGGGAATTCAAAACTAGGAACCAAAAGTCTCATTTTGGAGGGATTTTGCTTTAATTTTCGGTTTCTAAGGCTTTAAACTTCAAAAATATGATATATTATAATCTGCAAATTTTTTCAATAATGTTATCTACTCAGTATACTGATGAACTCTGATTTGTTTATTTCCACCGATAAAGCACAAAAACATAGCCCGATTATACGAATAAAGAAGGAGAATTAATTAAAATACGGGTAAACAAGGCTAAAAATTATTGAAACACTTAAAGGCAGGACGTCTCGAGCTGCTACCAGCTCATTTTCAGCTGCAAAAACACATAAAAACAAGTAAAAAATTGAGTGGCGACCTGACCCCAGCCGTTATTATGAGTGGTTACGTGATAACGGCTGGGGTCAGGTCGCCACTCAATTTTTTACTTGTTTTTATGTGTTTTTGCTGAAAATGAGCTGGAAGCAGCTCGAAACGTCTTACCTTTTAGTGTTTCAATAATTTTTAGCCTTGTTTACTCGTATTTTAATTAATTCTCCTTCTTTATTTATTTCCACCTTAATTATTTAATCTGGAAATATTGAACCACATAAATTCTACTGAGAGACTAATTCTTGAATTCTTCGGAACGTTTCATCCCACAAAAATCTGAAAGAGAAGTATTCTCCCGCCGAAAATCTGCTGAAAATAGCCAAAATTTCAGTTTTGGTTCCTAGTTTTAAATGCCCATGGATTTTCCCGCCAATGGCGCTCACAAAACTACTCACGCTCCTCCGCCGATGTTAGCGATCTGGACTAATCTGTGGCCCTCCATGAACCGATCTGTCGCTACTCTCCCTATACAGGTACTCTAGGTGCTTGTGTGAGTGTGTAAATGAGCGCGGGAATCCATGGCGGCAAACGGAAATTTGATTTGAACTTGTCCTCTTGATTTTTCCACATTTCTTCTTCGAATCGTATTTTAAATGCCTAAAACGAATATACTAAGAAAGTTGGCCTGCTTTTGCTCGGTAACAGGCAGTAATCTCAGATAAAGTTAGTTTTTCTTTTGCTCATGGTGGTTCTGCAGGTTCAAACAGGCCGTTCGGGCGTTACAGTTGTAGATGACTGTTACTCCCAAATGAAATTAATCGGTCGACGACGGACCAAAACTAACCTAAAGTTAAAAAAATATGAGTGGGTAAGTGAATTTGGGCAAAAATCAACCTAGAATACTTTGTTTCCGCAATTTTATTTAGTTCCCGCCCTACATTTGAATTTCAAACTTGTCCCGATTTCGCCGCCAATCCTCTAGCCAATCGTAGAGGTGGTTGAAAAGAAGCTTCATTTNTGTCCGGCCGGTCGGATACAGTACTTTCTCCGTCGATTCGCGACAGAATTGCAAGTTTTTGGGCTTGAATGAAAGAAGAGAGTCTAATCTTCAGACTGACATCCTTGGATTTTGAAATTAAGTGTTCTAATTCTTTAAATTTACCGTCAACTGAGAGGATCGTCGGCCGAGGGCCGAGATTTCTTGTGGGGAAACAGTACTTTCTCAACCACAACACCTTGCATTTTGATGATCAAAGGCTCAAAATATTCGCAATACTCTAATCTACAGTATGACATTTTCCGATTTTGAAATAAAAGCTCAGATTCTTCAAAATTCAGCTTTGACTGCAGAAATTTGACGAAAAACGGACATCGACGGTGGCGTCCCCTGGGCGGAGAAATCTATAAACAAAAAAACTGAGGATCCACCTTAACCGCTTCGTAGGCAACGCTTAACCCTGTTTACGAACACCGAACACGTGCCTTTAAAACCGTAACCGTAACCGAAAACAATGTGTAATGCAGATATAAAGTTCTTCAAGTCGTGTGGTATGATCTATCTAAGGCTACTGTAAATAGGTTTTTGTATATAATATTTTTTTTTTTCTTGTGATCTAAAGTTATTTAAGTAGTGCTCTATCGTCATGTCTGGGAGGAAGGTGCCTCAAAACTTGTCACACCTAGTGCACGGAGTAAAATTTTATGACATTGAACCAGTTTCAATTACGAACCTGTGCTTTAATGAAAGTCTACGCTCTCTTGCTGTCAGCAGGTATTAGATTCATGTATTTTTTTCTTTTGTAGAAATTCAGCAGTTTGTCCTGGCCTCAGCATATGGTCATAATGGTGTGTTACAAATGCATGCATAGAATTCGACTTCTTTTATCCGTAGCGTAGGCAAGTACATAAGTGATATGACATCTCACCGTGTGAAAGATGTCAGCAGCCCGACCATGGACTTATCGCCTCCATTGATAATGATAGGACTTGGCTCCATTCCAATGGAATACCCATCGAGGATGATCATAGACCTGGATCTATGTAAAGAGCTTTACCTAGGAAAGCTTTTCCATTGCTCATGGGTCGATGGAACTGCTCGATTCCATCGAAATTGAGGTTAGGGCTCTTATTTTGTTCACATGCTTCTCACTCGTCTGTCGTCGAAGTTGATTTGGTTCAAGCTATTAGTTGAAACCGAAATCTTGAGGCTAGTGTATCTCCCGCAGTTAATATTTTCCAAGCTGCTTCTTTTTCTGCGATAAATGCATCGAGGATGGTGATTGGTTGAAATCAATTTCCTCTTTTCAGTTAATGGTCTAACTTCGTCCGCCTTTCCATGGCTGTTCCATTGAGGTCCATGGTCACAGAAATTCCAGTGATGGAACTGCCATGGAACAAACCAGTGTTTCCATTGGCGGGAGCCATAGAAGTCTGTGGTGTGGCCGTAAGTAGACCATTTGGGTGGCACCAGGTGAGTATTTTCACCCCACAAGCAGGAACCTGGAAGGAATTGCCTTGAGGAAGGCATCTAATGAAAACTCAGTAGACTAGTTTGGTAACTACGGCATTTGATGTAACATCTAACTCTGTGGTTCAAACCAGAGCAAATAACATATAGGTGTCGTCAGCTAATTTGACGGTTGTTTACTTTTGGTTTGCAAGCGCCAACGATGAATTTGGGCCTCTGAACAAAGCGGCGTTCGCTACTATCCACACTGAAAACATCAGTCTCATGATCGTATCGTAAAAAAAATACTTTTTAGTTATGATTTGCGACTTTTTTGTGGTTGTGATTTTTGTAAGGCTAAAAATTAAAGTATTACAAGGTTTGAAAGTATTTAAAAACTTATCTAAGCTTGTATTCTTGCTTCTGAGAGAGTCAGATGTTTTCATGTGGATAGTAATGATGCGAAAACGCCTGCAAACCGAAAGTAAACAACCGTCAACTTAGCTGATGACACCTCCAACCTCATTTACAAATTCTGTGATGAGTTAATTTTGTTATTTTACTACCATTTAGTCATTGGCAAGTCATACTTAAATCAATCACGAACTCATCAAAATATAGAAATTTTGATTGCAAGAAATGCTGAGAAGCATTTTACCATCATAGCGTAAATCAAAGGTTACATGAGGACCTTTCCGGCCAAATAGCTTATGCCCATGTCAACGCTGCTAAGATTGTGCAACTTTTCCTTTTTCTTACCAGTAACCAAAATCACCCTCAATTTAAAAAACCTGCTCAGAACAGGGAGGCTCAGTGCCTCCCACAGGGTTGCCACGGTCAGGGAATTCAGGGAAAACCTGGAAAAGTCAGGGAAAAAAACAGTGCTCTGGAAAACCTGGTAAAGTCAGGGAATTTGACCAAAAACAGCTGATAGGGAAAAATTGACAATTTTCACGAGTTGCTTAAAATCTTTCTTTTTTCGGTTTTGAACGCAACATAAATTGAGATGAAGTGGCATATCTCGCGATGCATTCAAGAGTTAAATTATACAGCCGTATTTGGTTGCCAACGCAACAAGCAACGCAAATTGGAATGCCCAGTTTTTGTGTGTATTTTTGAAATTTCAACTACTACCGATGACTAACCACTAACCGCTTAATTTTCTTCTTTAAAGTAATTCGAGTGTCTAGGATTATTGCAAACGCAAAGCATCAAAGTTCTTGAAAAATAAACCATTTAAAGCTCACTTTAAAAATAGGTGTTTGAAAAATCCTGGGAAGGGAGAGATAAATAGAGAAACGAACACCAGGGGAGACCCTTTTTTTTAGAGTGTTTCTTCAAAAGAACAATCGTTCAAAAGTTTTCATTTCTAAAACAATTATTGGGTTGCTCAAGAAAGTCAAAAGCATCAAAATTAAAAGAAAAAGTTAACAACCCTTTTTGTATTTCCAAATGTTCTACAGTTAATTTCTGACTCCTTAGCTTAAGCGCGTTTCCAATGAGACGCTATGTACGTGCAAACCTATTAGACAGAGAAAAAATTCGGGCATTTTCGGGCGAGTCGAGGATTGCAACGTCGGATCCCGGCGAGGAGCCGCTGGGTCAGCGCTAAGCTCACCGGGGTATTGTTCCCATTGTGTCCACGCCGGGTCTTCACCTGGCGGCCGGACCCTTGTCATTAAGGCCCTCTGGCCACTGGTGGACCAAAAATTGCACACCAATTTTTTTATCTTTAGTGAATTTTTCCTTCATTTCAACGGATTCGGATTCAACTTGCAATCCTGATGAAAAATATGTACAATTGTAGGTAAGTATAATGGTAAGTTATTGTATAACAGAACTTTTTGGATATTTTGGAAAGCGCTGAAGGAATTCGCGAGTTTTGTAATACAATAATTTACCATTATATTTACCTATAATTATACAGGGTGATCCTAAAGTCCCTTCCACCCCCTCTAAATTTTTACCTAATTGAGGTAAAGATGTAAAACTTGGGGGATAATCCTAGGTCAAAGGGAGCTACTTTTTGGCCCCCCTAAAATTTTCAGGGGTCCCCCTTGGGGGGGGGGGGCAACGGCCCCCAACTTTTAATTTTCGAATGGGAAGACCCCCTTTGTGATAGCTCGTTCAAAAGAGCATAAAAAAAGAAAACCTTTCGGGCAAGCCTGAAGTCAATATCTCAAACCGTTTCAAAATGGCGGCCGGTTAAAGTTCAAAATGGCCGAAAATTCACACCGGTTATTTGTCGATGGATTTGCGCGAAAATCAGTATGAAGGGGTATTCTGACACGAAAAAAACGAATTTGACGTTAGATTTTCCAAAAACCAAAATTTCCAAAATGGCCGCCGGTTAAAGTTCAAAATGACCAAAAATTGATTTGTTTTTAAATCTAAGTTCAAATTTGTTTATCTTATGCCAAAATACTCTCTAACTCCAAGTTTTAGGCAAATCCATCAGGAAAAAACCGAGGTGACAATTTTCGGCCATTTTAAACTTTAACCGGCGGCCATTTTGGAAATTTTGGTTTTTTTTGGAAATCTAACGTCAAATTTGTTTTTCTCGTGTCAAAATACCCCTACATACCGATTTTCGCGCCAATCCATCGACAAATAACCGGTGTGAATTTTCGGCCATTTTGAACTTTAACCGGCCGCCATTTTGAAACGGTTTGAGATATTGACTTCGGGTTTGCGCGAAAAGTTTTCTTTTTCTATGTTCTTTCGAACGAGCTATCACAAAGGGGGTCTTCCCATTTGAAAATTAAATGTTGGGGGCCGTTGCCCCCCCCCCCCCAAGGGGGGCCCCCTGAAAATTTTAGGGGGGCCAAAAAGTAGCTCCCTTTGACCTAGGATTATCCCCCAAGTTTCAAATCCTCACCTCCATTAGGTAAAAAGTTAGGGGGGGTGGAAGGGACTTTTGGATCACCCTGTAAATATTTTTCATCAGGATTGCAAGCTGAATCCGAATCCGTTGAAATGAAGGAAAAATTCACTAAAGATAAAAAAATTGGTGTGCAATTTTTGGTCCACCAGTGGCCAGAGGGCCTTAATGACAAGGGTCCGGCCGCCAGGTAAAGACCGGGTGTGGACACAATGGGAAAAATACCCCGGTGAGCTCAGCGCTGACCCAGCGGCTCCTCGCCGGGATCCGACGTTGCAATTCTCGGCTCGCGCGAAAATGCCCGAATTTTCACTCTGTCTAATAGGTTTGCACGGACTAGCGATGGTACCTAGCAAGGTGTGGCTGTGCGATCATGGCGCGCGTTCTCAAAGGTCAGGGAATTTCTCCATTTTTCGTCAGGGAAAATCATTTCCAAATTTTTGTGGCAACCCTGCTCCCAGTAAATTTTGACGAAACTTTAATAGATGGACATGAAGTTCATTATTAGCACAAAGCCAAATAATTAGCGCATTCAAACAAGTAGAAGCCAAGATTATCTGGTTTGAACCCAAAATGTTTTTTATTATGTCACAGTATGGTGGGCGAATTAAGAGTCCTCTCTCCTCTGGTTGTTTTACGTCCTCAGTCAAACCTCACACACAGTTAGCTTTTAGCACAGGTGCTTTTTGTCAGCTGATGGGAGGCCGTATCCTATGTGCATCGGCCGATTCTGGTACAGTAATTCAGATCTCTCTGTCATGTTTCGGACTTTGTCGTATTGCATGGCCCGAGCGTTCGTATGGAAAGATGTGAGAATGAATGAAAACAACACGAGATGGTAGCTACCTGGAGGAGCGAGGGAATTTCCTGGCCAAAAAGTTCTTCACAGGCAAGGAATTAAGAAAGGCAACGCAAGACGCTTATTCACCTCCACCGCAAGGAAAATTTTCCGAGTTCAATCATGTATATTTCAGCTTTTACTTGTTAGAATGAGCTAATTTTTTGGTTTTGTGCTAATGATGAACTTTATGTCAAATTATTAAAGTTTTATCAAAATCTACCTTAAGCCACTGTGCCCCTGTTTTATGTGGGGTTCTTTTTCTGCCAAAATATTCAGAAAAATAGAAAGAAAATTTGAGGCAAAGTTCAGGATAAAGCTTACAGCTAACAACTGAACAGTTGAATGTATGCTCAATCTTAGACCTCGCGCATCGCCTAAGTCAATCTATTGAGCCACATTAGCTGCGGTATTAATCTCAGCAAACTTCTCATCAAGTTACTCAGTGGCCTTAGTGGAGCATTGATAAACTACTGCCAGGCGACTAGCGAGTAGTAGTGAGACTTGCAAGTTATCCTGCAAGCTCTGGGAGCCGCCAGACCCTTGGCCGCTGCTTTGTTGTTGTTTTGACGCCCGCCAAATTTAAATTTATAATCACAATCACAGAGCTTCTGACATGAAAAAGAGGAAAAACTCACCTTCCAATTCGCACAGTTGTATTGCCAAGTGAAATGAAAGAATAGAAGCCCACCACAAAAATGAAAACGCGGTAATAAGAGTTCTTGTCAAGATAAATAGTACAGATCGCAAAAATGTTGAATATTTCCATCCTGTAATGTAATTTAAACTATATGATCTACAACAATTCACTTACTGGAAATGGCAGCTAAATGTTTACTTTTTATTTGCTCTTATGATGTCACTGCGTAATTTCCTATTTTCTTGCTCACTGAGATTAATAACGCATCTATTATAGGAATTATTTAATGGAATTTTAATATTTCCTATTGGCGCTTGAATAATTGAAGTTGTAGCCAAAAGTTGTTGCCTCAATATTAGTCGTCAGTTATCTATGAAAATGCTGGAACCTCAATCATCCATGAAAATACTGAAACCTAATAATTGGTAAGTATAAACAAAAATTTCCGATCCATACAAAGAATTCAATTTGATGCGGAAAAGTTAATAAATGTGTGATTATGCCAAAAAAGTCTAATTCTCAAGTGTCATAACGTAAAAAAATTACGAAAAATCGGATATTCGTAATATATTATTTCTGAAAAACCATTTTGGCTCCTAAGAAAATTCTAATAACTGTCAAAAACTGTTCAAGCTGGCTGTATTTGCCCCTTAAATGTTCAGTAAGATTCAAACGCTGAAGTCCATTTGTTTCATGTAAAATTCTTGTTTCCTTTTTATGTCCTTATCCATAGTTCTTGTTTCTTCTCGTCCCTAAATCTATTGCCCTTTCTTTTCTCTGAAACAAAGTCTATATTTTACAGGTCTGATAGTTCGGTTGAAATATGGAATATTCGAAGTGCAGCCCACGTAGACAGAATTATTCTTCCACAAGAGGGCATTTCGATCCAATGCATTATTTGGTCTGGTGAGAGATTGTTTTGTGGAACCCTACAAGGCTCAGTCATTGAATATGATCTTCTGAGTTTGTCTCCTTTGGTAATTTTGCATTTTACTTATCATCATCTCTTTTTGGACTGAACCAAGAAATCTTGTTTTCGACCAAATAACAAGCATTAAGATGATGTTCTCTACAACCTTCCAAGGACAATGGGCTTTAAAAATCGAGCTCTATGTTTGCCAATTTCATGAAAAGAAGGGCTGAGAAGTGAATTTTTCTGCATTTTCCATGCTCTTTTTACGAAGATTTGACACTGCTGTCGTGCTCAATTTACAGACATGCCTTTATCCCAAAGTTGACGTTATTTTGAGCTGCATAAGCCGTGTGCTGTTATTATTTGGAAGAATTTTCGTTCTTTTCAACCTTTATCTCCTGGAAATGCAGGCACAAAAAGATGTGCAGCATCGATTTTCTTTCACTGGCTGTGAAAAGTGGAGAGCTCTCAATCATCAATTTGGTTTTACAACATTTCCACTACCCAGATACAGGGAGTAAAAGTGCTGAAGGAAGCTAATTTCGGCCCTGCTTTTCCCAAAATTTGCGCCTGAAAAATTCAATTTTTAAAACTCATTGCTCAAAACATTGTTTTCAGGCTGTAGCACTGTGGGCCAGAGGTGCCGGTTGCGCGAAAATAATTGCTATCTCGGTTAAATCCGAACGAAAATCAGTAAGTTTTGGTACATCGGGGTTTCTTGGGTCGCTGAACTTGAATTTGATGTCAGCTTTGTTCAAAAATCACAAGAAAAGTATGTTATGAGGATTTGAGCTAGTCCAGTGATGACTCCTTTCTTAGAGCAATCGCACTGGGATTAGAAACCATTTTAACGCTGGAGGAACTTTCAAAAACAAAATTGAGAATTTGAAAGTGACCAAGAAGAGTCTTGAAAACCACCTAAGATTGTTCCAATTAGAAGAATGAAGGACGAGAATGTTCACAGACGAACGCTTTATGTGTTTGTATTTTCTGTCACTGTCTCCTCTTAATATTGATTCTTGTGGGTTACCATGCTGAAATAAAAAGAATAACTTTGCAAATTAATGCCCTGCATGGTTTAACGGTTCTATCTTTTGCCGTTGTAAGCTATCAAGTATCATGTCAGAGGATCAAAGAAGCATCATATGAATTTTCTTGAGAGGCGCTAGGCATGAGAATGGACAACATTTACCTACAATGTTTACTGGAAATGACGGTCAGTAACCTAAGTGGACGTACCTCGCGTGATTTCTCGGATTCTAAGACAGATTTTTGATAAATCGCAGTGCACAGAGGGTTATCTCACTTCCCATAAAACTTAATTTGTTTATCAGGATGAATTTTCATTGGTATAGTCTGTATTTATGGAAGGAAAATGGGAAAGAAATTCGCACAAAACTTCATGACAGCGTATTCTCTTTTGGCTCTTAGGTATTTGTTGTCTGGAAGAAGACGTGACATAAAATGGTTCGGAAGATCGACTAGCCATTTTCGATGGGGTTATTTTATGATATCTTTGACACAAAACAGAGCCTTCAATGACGAAGTCATGGCAAAGAATATTTGCACATCATCATTTCGAAAAAATTGCACAGATACCAATGATTTATAGAAGATAATAACAAGTAATAGAATGTTTTGATTTTTCTAATTGGCTAAATTTTTTCTTTCTTAATTTAAAGTTTCTATGTATGACCATGACCGTAGTTGGAGCGGAGGCATAGAGGGCTTGGCTCCCTTAGAATCGAAATTAGTGTCATTTCGCCCTCTCCAGCAGTGGTATTCGGCGGAAAAAAACTTTAGTCGGAGATCCGTCTCTGCCAAATGCTGTCAAATTGAAGGAGTATTAACCGGAAAAATTTAACTTAACTCCAATTAAATTATTTAAGCATTGCATATCGACCATTAAATCAGAAAGTAAAACATAATCGTAAGTATTGTAAATGGTATTTATCATTTTTATGGTTTATAGGGTGTAATGAAAACCCCGTGCTCTTTCAGTTGGTATATTCTTCTTCTTTCATTATTCGATTGCAATTAATAATTTGTTTATCAGGATGAATTTTCATCGGTATCGTCGGTACATATAGGGGGAAAAAGGGACAGAAATTCGTACAAAGCAACATGAAAGCGTATTCTCTTTTGGCCTTGGGGTATTTCTTGTCTGGAATAAGACATGATATAATTTGATATGATTTGGAAGAGCGACTAGCCATTTTCGATGGGGTTATTTTATGCTATCTTTGACCCAAAACGGAGCCTTCAATAACGGAGTTATGGCAAAGAATATTTGTACATCATCATTTCGAAAAAATCTCACCGATTCCAATATTTCTAATAGATAATAAGTAATTGAATGTTTTTCTGATAATTTTTCTTATTTTACTTTAAAGTTTCTACTCAAGACCATGACCGTTGTTTGAGCGGGGGGAATGGAGGGCTTGGCTCCCTTAGAATCGAAATTAGTATCATCTCGCCTTCCCCAGCTGTGCTGTTCGGCAAAAAAAAAAAAAAAAAACTTTCGTCGGAGATACGTCGCTGATGCCTCATGCAGTCAAATTGAAGGAATGTTAACCAGAAAAATTTAACTTTACTCCATTTAAATTATTCAAGCACTGCATATCGACCATTAAATCAGAAAGTGAAACATAAATGTAAGTATTGTAAATGGTTTTTATCCTTCTTACGGCGCATAGGGTGTAATGAAAAACCCCGTGCTCTTTCAGTTGGCATATTCTTCTTCTTTCATTATTCGATGGCATATTTCAAAAAGAATCAAAATTGAATTGTATTTTTCTCAATTTGTGTATTTTTGAGTGGATTAAAAAGTTAATTTGTACATAGTGTCGTGCTAATTAGCATATTTTACTTTGTGTAGGCTTTTACTGATGAAATACTATTGTTGTGGATGTTTTCCTGCGCTTTTTGACAAACAAGAGAGGTCAAAGAGGACTAAATTAATAGAACATCTTTAAATCGAAGAATGCGGAAGCAGTTTAAGCTGAGAATACGTAAAACACCGTTATCATTGTATGGAAATCAACATAAAAAAATTCCTCACGGAAACCTTAGCATTCGTCCAAATATAGCTGAAAATTAAAAAAATTTCAGGGAGAGGCCGTTTGAACCCCTTTTCAACTGTAGGGTGAAGGAGGGGGGACGGGGTTTCAACGCTCCCATGATTCTCCGGTGGTAGGGGGGCCGAGATAACCTGGCCTTGCCTATGCTGATGATATTTTTTTTCAGTTTATTGTTCTATTTTTGTAAGAATTTGAAGAATCATTCAGCTTGACTATCATCACAATTTTACACTCAAAACTTAATGTTTGTTTACTTTTCCTATTTCTTAATCCATAATTTAAGCACGTAGTGGCACTATTGTAAGGCAGGAAGATTCCCTGGCGTTCTCTCCTCTGCAGAGTTATGATTCCTTTTGTTACTGTCGAGTATTTGAATTTGACCATTTCTAAGAGGCAGATTAATTACTTCACGAACATCTTCCTCTTTTTCCCGACTTCCATTACTTTCAAATATCTTACTTTGGAAACAGATTTAAACAATTCTTGTTCGTTGCATCAAAAAAAATTCGCTAACGGTGGAAAAACTAACTTGGAGATGCGGTTTTTTCGATCGAAATTCACCACCATGCGGAGCACAAATCATATCATAATGATTTTTGCTGAAGAGTTTTGTATCTTAAACAAATGCTTCCCTCAGGACCTTTACAATACTTGCACAATCGCTGACTTAAGGCACACAAGAATCGAGGATCTAATACGATACTGCCCAACATTCATGGAAAGACTGAGCTGTCAATTAATTACGGAATTCAAGCTCATGTTGATATTCTTTCAAGATTTACAAATAAATTGAAATCCGCAAAAACTAAGTTTATGGTCAAAATAATCTCATCATTTTCCACCTTTTCTCCCTTGCAAAACTTCCCAGTGAAAACATCGGAAACAGCCAGTCGATTTTCTAAACCATTTCATATCAGGTCTTATTCCAGACAACAAATACCCTAAGGCCAAAAGAGACTACGCCGTCATGATGTTTTGTGCGAATTTCTGTCCCGTTTTCCCTCCGTATATACAGACTATACCAATGAAAATTCATCCTGATAAACAAATTAAGTTTTATGGGAGGTGAGATAACCCTCTGTACATCGCGATTTATCGAAAATCTGTCTTAGAATCAGGGAAATCACGCAAGGTCACGTCCACTTAGGTTGCACAAGGCGCGGCGCGGCGATGAATCGGGTCAAAACGCCTACCAACGGAAAGAGCTTGTCACGGGGGTGCGCCCAAAATTGTGCTCATGGATTTATTTATCGTCGCACAAAAATGGTCATGGTATCATTTTAATCGTCAGAGAATGATCTTTCTACAATATACGAGAGGAGGTTTGTTTCTCCATTCGATTGAAAATTATTCGTTGTTGTAAATGGAAATTTGAACATTTTCGGTTCTTTTGAAAAATACCGAGAAAACTTGGAGGAAACCAGTAAGTATAGCCGCTACACTAGTTAACTTTCAACATAGCTTATTAACAAGCCCAAAATAATGAAAATCAGACGAGAATATGCCGAAATATAACGCGCGTATGACTTGCGTAGCACGTTAATCGCCCGTATTCCGCCGTTTTCACCGCGCACCGGCCGTACCGCGACGTTTCACTTAAATTGCTCTAGCGGGTTCATTTTTTGACGCAGAAAAATTGTTTTTGTATCCAATTAAACGTGAGATAGTTTCCCATCGCCGTTACTGACGTTTTAAATAATTAAACGCTCTCGAAAATTGGGTGAAATTTCAAGATTTTAAAATTATTCTAATGAGCTTTCATTTGTGCCTTAGAAGAAAAAATTTTTGAGGTAGGCTTCTGTAGAAGCATTTCAGCTTCAAAACGGGACCAAGAAAACGAAAATCGGACCCGTAGTTTCCGAGATATAGCGCGCTGAAAAAACGCTTGGCGGTCTTCTTTAACGGCCGCCATCTTGGTTCCTGCACGGACCCCAGAGTGGTTCCTTTCTAAAAGGCCTTCTTATGACCATAAGAATAATCCCTGAAAGCGGCAATTTCCAATCGAAAAGTGCAGGGTTTTGGCCGTTATTCAATCGTCCCCATGCATTTTGTTGTGTTGCGTCACATATAATACCCGTGTGGTAGGATTAATAATATACTTACAGAAAAGAAAAAAAAGATGAATGACAGAATTACAGATAGATTTATAAATGTCGTCTCATCTGAGAACCTTTTTTGCACTTATTAAGTATGATAAAATGTGGCAACCATGGAAAAAAGCGGAAGTTATGGAAGTTAACAATATTATTACTATTCACTCGGAAGAATTTAATTATAGTACGATATCTAAGGTCATATTTGTGAAATATGAATTTAATCCTGTTTTTGATAAGTCAACTTTTTTTTTAAAAAAAAATCCATAAATGGGTTTCCTGCGATTTCCCGCAGCAAAGCTGTGGTGCAAATGAATATCGAGGATTCAAAGAAAAAGTATCTGGCATTAAAACTCGATAGAAATTTATAGAAAAAACTGCAGAAAGCTTTTTCGATGGAATTTTTAAGCTTTATCAGGCATGTTTTCTAACAAGCTTTGTAGACAATGAAAAGTGCGCAATTGAAAAAGTGTATACATCAAAGGAAAGCTCTTTTCAAGAGAAGTCCTAGTGAACAGATTTTCATCCTGTGCAACCACGGAGCCGTGATAAGGCCTTTACGGTTGCAGTTCAGGACGCGCTTCTATATATTATTCGTGCAGTGTGAGAGGTACCCATGTTCCCTTCTCCAATACATCGCTGTTGGGCGATTATTTGATGAAATTTTGATGAATCCTCATCCCTTAGAGAGGTACTTTAACGAATTCCTCATCATCAATTCAGAACTGAACACTCTTAAAAATGGCATTTTTCATGTGTAACGGGCTTCTCTGGTCCACGGTGCGCAGTAGATGACATCAAAAAAAAAAAAAAAAAAAAAAAAAAAAAAAAAAAAAAAAAAAAAAAAAAAAAAAAAAAAAAAAATAACAAAATTTGGTAAGCGCCAAATCACATTGTAATCGATGTGGTTTCCTTCTTCCCTTTGTATGGAGCTGAAGTATTAAGCTTTGCTAACAGAACTAATATTCTTAATAATGGACCACTAGACAAGGTACGAATTTTAGCATTCTAATACATGTTTATTCCAGAATTTCACGTAGAACACGATTCGCGTAACGAAAATTACTAAAATAAACTTCTTACGAAGATATTAACGTTTAATTTCACATTGAGCACGAGGAATTTGAACTGCCCGCTCACAAGATACTCAAAGCTCTGCGTGAGTCAAATCGTGCATTACAACGGTTTCAGCAAGCTTCTCAATCGAGCAATGTTCATTTCCCACCGTTTGTTGTTCAAACTAAAAGCAATTTGCTATCGCTGAGCCAAAGCGTCAAGATTGAGGTTGTCAGATTTTTGTATCGCAGAGATTGTCATGATAACGTTGAGCGCGCGATGTGAATCACGTAGAGCATTGAGTTTTCATGAGCGGATGGTTTGAATTCACGCATTAAGAATCATTAAATATCTTCGTAAGGAGTTGATAGAGGTAATTTTTGTTGTGCGCATCGTTTTTTTCGTGAAATTTTGGTTAAGAAACTTGTATCAGAATGCTGAAATTCGTACCTTGTTTAATGGTCCATTTTGGTTTTAGAGCACTGCTTTTATGACACTGTGTTTTGTAACAGGTACATATTGCAAGTGGAAGACTTCACTCCAGGGAAAATCCCTCCCAGATTATTTTATTGTTCTAACGTCCATTTCAGAAGAAGATATAATACGCCAAATACATATAGCAATCTCATGAGGCCTCTGTCCTGCTAGCCTGTTGCCTCTCTTTGTTTTATTTTTCAATTGAACCCCAGGAGAAATAACCCTCTACTACTGTGGTCTCTGGAAGATCAAATCATTACAAGGAGAAGTGAAAGACATATTTTCCTCTCCAATACTGTCAATACCTTGGATGCAACGCATAGTAAAAGATATTGCTGCAAGAGAACATGAAATCTTCGCTTCTGGACCAATTTTGGTTCATTGATTGAGCTAAAGGAGAAGTATTTTTTTGTGGGAAGGAGCCAATTCTGCAGTGGGAGAGCTAAAATATTACCACCTCCCCGCCAATATTGATTTTGCAGCATGTTATGAAGGTCCCTGCTTCAGAGGAGCAAGAGAACCTTTCCCTCCCCACCTATTTTGATGCGTCAATTGAGGTGGGAGAGAAGCCTTGTTCTAAAATATAGAGCTGATTTAATAACCTCTTTGTCTGCAGTTTCTTTGGACCTCTCCATCGTTGGAGGAAAAAAATGACCTTGTTTCCAAATTAAATTTTTAACACCTCACTTAAATATCTTCAAACCACCCCCTCCCCCCACCTCCTTCAAAAATAATCCTCCCTTTTTTGTCTATTTAACCAATATGAAAGAAACATTATGGACGGAGATATTTTTCAATGAGAAATCCAAATTATGCATGTAGTCAATTCAAAGCCAAGGTATGTACATTACTATTCCAGAAAAGATTTCAATAGTTGGGCTACGCTGCTGACTGCCAAAAAACATCGTCAGTCGAAATGTCAATCACCTTTGATGAGCCTCAGATCGCAAGTTTGTCATCTTCTTTAAACTTTTCCAATGAATTTTTCAGAACTCGCTACCTGTAACTTCTGGCACATGTTGGTGTTTGGCACCCAATAAGTCAAACTCTTTACTGGCCGTAAGTAATGGCATGAAATTATTTTTTTTTTCTCCAACTGTGAGTAAGTCTTTTATTTTATAGTTTCATTGCTGTTCAAAAGTAGAGCAAAGGGGAGAAGAGGATTAGTCTTTAAGGGCTCAGTTGTTAAGTTGGAATAGAAAAGGAAACCTCTGAGGTAAAGTATTTTTTGCAAGACATGTTATGTTTTGATGAACAATCTTTCAAACTTATTTCTAGCATTTGACAGTTGACTTTCTGTATTTTATCAATTAAAAGCTTCAATAAAATTGTGTATGCTTAGGGTGGGATTTATTTTTTTAAATCGACAAAACCAAATGTTGCACGGTCTTAAATGGTTCTACGTGATAAAAAAAAAAAACGCGGTAGCCAAGAGGATTTTGAAAAAAAAAAAAATTTTAACCTGGCACGCACAGAGCCTAATATCGAGATTTTTTCGGTTTTTTTTGGCATTTCCGCCGTATATTTTTGATATTTTTGCCAGCAACACAATTTTGACGCTAGATGTCCAAAAATTGGTACAAACCTAGCACGTACCTTGCAGATTAAGGGAAAGTTTTTGTTTTTCTGCTAGGTCATTCTCCTTTCGCTTGGTAATGCCCAAACTCTCCGCTCGGCAGCTCTAAAACTCGAAATCTCCCCGTTTTTTAACGTATAATAAATTTTTTGAGCAGCCTGGTAGTAAAAATCCGAAAATTTTTGGGAAGCAAGTCCATACCATTAGTATGGAGGGGCAAATTTCAAAAGATCCATAGATGTTTGATTGATTGTCGCACAGTGTCTTCAGATACACAAAAATCGTGAAAAATATCTCCATTGTTACCGGTCTTTTGCTCTCAAAATTTAATAGACACCCTGTAATGACAGTAAAGGTTGAAAACTTTGCTCTGTAGCGCTATTTTAGAGGCCTACTGAGCGTCGACCGGCCGCTCAGTGGTCCTGTACGGAGCTGTAATTTTAAAAACGTGAATTTTTTGGAAATATCTGTAATTTCTGAACTCAGCGACCCTCAAGAGTCCCTAATAATGCATTTCGCTCAGTTTGAACAGTCAATCTGATTTAATAACAGTCAAATCCGACTTTTTGCGCGCGAAAATCGGTCGGCGCGCGTTGAGCGGAAACTTCAATCGATCATAACTCCGGAACCGTTTGGTTCCCCAGCTTAATGGACCACTCGTTGGATGCGGAAAAAGACGAACAATTTAAAAAACTGGTTTTGGTTCAAATAAAAAATTGAGATCTTTGTAAATTTTTCATTTAAAAGAAATTATCTAGACCTAAAAACTGGAAAAAAGCACATATGTTGACTTAAAAATGCGATATCGGGATTTCGACCTTTAGAATCTTAAAGTATGCCATTTTAGACGATTTTTCGTCCAAACCGGACCTCGATATCTTTCTTCGTTCGAGAGAAATCAAGGTTCACAGGTTTTGACTTTCAACCCCCCTAGCTCCCCCCCAAAATTTTTTGGGGGTCTGAAAATTTGGGAAAAGAAGCGCTCAAGTATGAGTAATCAATAGATAAAGTCTGAAGAAATTCCAGAGGGGGGCGAAAAAAGCCGTTTTTGCATCAAGCTCTTTCGCCAATTGAAGAAAAAAATTGAGGTATTTTTGACGTTTTCGAAGTGATTGCGGGCACCGCACAATGAGGAATGTAAGACATAGGAACGAAGTAGATTTTTTTATTCCTTACGGAGGGTATGAACTTACTTTGCACAAATTCTCGGACCTCTACTGCCACTACAAGGCGTTCAAAAAAATTCTCCAAAAACGACTAAGTTGAGGTATTTTTGACGTTTTCGTCGCCATTTCGAGTATTGCAAGACGAAGAATATAAGACGTAGGAGCAAAGTAAAATTTTTTATTCTGTACAGACGGTATAAACTCACTTTTTACAAATTTTTGGACCTTCATTATCATTACAGAGTGTCGAATCAATTTTTGAATGCGAAAAAACGATCAAAATTGGGCTATTTTTGACGGGTTTTCCACCGTTGCGGGCATAGCTTGGCAGAAAATAAAAGACCTAGGAGTTTTCTGACATGTGTCCTTCCATACTGATGGTATGGACTTGCTTCTCACAAATTTTCGGATTTTTACTACCATTCTAGGCTGCTCAAAAAGTTCATTATACGTTAAAAAACGGCGAAATTTCGAGTTTTAGAGCTGCCGAGCGGAGAGTTTGGGCATTACCAAGCGTAAGGAGAGTGACCTAGCAGAAAAACAAAAATTTTCCCTTAATCTGCAAGGTATGTGCTAGGTTTGTACCAATTTTTGGACATCTAGGATCAAAACTGTGTTGCTGGCAAAAATATAAAAAATATACAGCGAAAATGTAGGGCTGTTCCATCGGTTGTTGGCAAGCTACAGAAACAGCTCCGTTAAGAAAAAGTTACGATAAGAGCGCTCTTGGCGATAGCGATCAGAGTTTTCGGAGCTGACGAAAATAAGCTGTTGCCTTTTGTACATCTATTTTATGCGCCGCAGCGCCAGGCAATCTGATAAACCGACACATGGGGCAACAATGCATTGAGTGCAAGCTCTCAAAAATCCGTTAAGGCCGGCTGTTAACGATATCATCGCTACTGTCGGTACTGCCGCCAGTTTCGATAAGAGACGATATCGATAGTGTTCCGGCAAGGATTCGCTTGAACACCCCTACAAAAATGCCAAAAAACCCGGAAAAATCTGTATGTTTAGGCTCTGTGCGCGCCGGGATAACATGTTTTTTTTTTTTTCTAAATCCTCTTGGCTACCGTGATTTCTTTATCACATAGAACCATTTAAGACCGTGCAACATTTGGTTTTGTCGATTTAAAAAAATAAGTCACACCCTATGTATGCTGCAGACTGTAGTTCTAAGAAAAATGTATCAAAGAATATAAAAAAGAATAGGTAGATGCTGCATTAATTATCGCTGAAAAAAAGCGTGTTGCTCAATACGCCCAATTTAAAATACAATGTGGACATAAAATAGATAGATGCAATCAATGACTGGAAGACACACTAAAGCAAAATTATAATCAAGCTTTGGTTAAAAATATAGTCACATTAACTGGAGGAAATTTGCTTCTCACTATCCTAATAATTTATTTCTTCTTCTTAGGTGGGAACGGAGGCAGGTTACATCAACATACTCAACACTGAGAACAATATGTTAATGTTTGAAAAATTATTGGATAAGCAAGAAGGTATGTTTTACTAATAGTGGGGTCGCTTAGGGTCAGAATAGTTCGAATTAGGCTACCAGCATGAAACTTTGTGGAATTGTAATTTATGGTACCTAGAACGAAAATCAATAAGGACCCAAGGTGGAATTTTCATGGTTCCCCGTATTTTAACTACCATTTTCCAAGATGGCCGCCATAAGCTGATTTCCATTATTTTCTCATTTTTCAGAGGTTCTAACCTACTGATTAACAGAAAATTCGGCAGGAATATACTTGAATGTGTCTACAATGAGAAAAAATTGACACTCAAGTCCAGTTGGCCATTTTGTCCTTGCTATTGGCCACCATTTCGAATCATCGCGGCTGGGTAGCATGCACGAAATTCGGCAGGAATATGCATAAATATGTTGAGAATAAATATCTATTGAGACCCAAGTTCAATCGGCCATTTTACTCTAGCTAATGGCCGCCATTTTGGATATTGACAGCCCAGTCCTGCTGCTTCGCGGTTTCTCAGATTTGCGCGGCTATTCTGCCGCTAATGCCTGAAAGAGCTTGATGCAAAAACGGCTTTTTTCGACTCCCCCCCCCCCCC